GTCAAGATACTGTGAGGAGGCAGGAACAGGGGCGTGGCTTGTCAATTTCTTTGTGTTTCAATGGACGCGCACAGCTCAATTCCCGCCTGGGAGCGTGCACGCACAGGTGTCTCCTTTGCAACCTTCTAGGCAAAGAAGGCACCCGTAAAAAAACTAAATGGGAAGAAAAAAAATAGCCGTACAAGTGGATCTCCGTTGGAGAATTTTAAAAAATGAGGGTTTAATGTGTACTGTGATAGTGTCATTTTCACAGTGGAGTACTGCTGGGCAAACTATAATATATCAGTAAAACTGTATCTAGTGCTCAAAGAACCCATGTTAATTTCTATTTGATCCAACAGCAAAGCCTGAATCCTCACATTCGGCATCCAGTTCCAGTAGTGGTTCAAGTCTGTCTGCAGCAAAATGTGATCCAAAACACAAGGACTGTCTACTGCGTGAATTCCGCAAAGTATGTGCCATGGTTGCAGAGCAGCCAAGCTATAATGCCAAGACCCAGATCATCCAGGATTTCCTAACAAAAGGAACTGGTGGAGGTACTTGAGATACTTCAATTAATTGTATAATAGGAATTATTATGTTAACTTAATTTACTGTAAGTCTGGTAGCATCTATAGCACATAATTTTCAAATGTCATCAACAAATGTACATTGTCATAGAATGCAGTGTTCTGATTTTGTAGAACATGATTGTTAGCTAGTTATTGTGAATGTAAATGCTCTACTTTGTACAGATGGTTTCCATGGAGATACATACTTGACAGTGAAACTGCTATTACCCGGTGTTATCAAGAGTGTTTACAACCTCAACGATAAACAGATTGTCAAGCTCTTTAGTCGTATATTCAACTGCAACCTAGAGGAAATGGTTCGAGACCTTGAGCAGGTAAGACAAGAAACGATCTAAAAGAAAATGAGTCGATTTTTCTTGATGAAGGTTTTTTTTTTTTAGATCTTTTTCATCTTTAGCAGATATATTTAAAGCTTTGATCATTGAGCCTAAAGCAACCATTTATTTGTAACTAGGGAGATGTGTCAGAGACCGTTCGGATTTTCTTTGAAGAGAGTAAAACCTTCTCCCCAGCTACTAAGAGTCTCCTGACAATTCAAGAAGTAGATGACCTGCTCAACCAGCTTTCTAAAATGACCAAAGAAGAAGACCAGCAGAAAGTACTGGAGGACATTGCACACAGGTAATGTCTCTTTAAAGTGTTGAGCTTACAAATTCAGCGTTTGGGTGGGAGATCAAATAATATACTAATTATATTATGGGAGTTTTGTTTGCATGTTCTTAGCAACTAGATTTTTATTTTGGTCTATTTAGTTCTCATGGACAGACTTAGGGTTTATCAGTGGCTCCACTTAGTTGCCGTTTGAGACTAAGACGGCTATTTTAAACAGAGAACAGATATCGCTAGCCACTCTCTGCTGGACCCTTCAATGTTTACTCCACTGTGCCTCCCCTTTAGTTATGCAGTGTAGAGAAATCCTGCAGTGTCCAAAGAGGGTTTCTGTATAATGGAACATATTTATACACCAATCATCCAGAACAGTATGACCATTGACAGGTGAAGTGAATAACATTGGTTATCTTGTTACAATGGCACCTGGAAGTGGGTGGGATATATTGGTCTTTAAGTGAACATTTTGTCCCTGAAGTTGATGTGTTGGAAGCAGAAAAAATGGCCAAGTGTAAGGATTTGAGCAACTTTGACAAGGGCCAAATTGTGATGGCTAGAAGACTGGATTAGAGCAACTAAAAAATTGGAGCTCGTGTGGGATGTTGTCAGGGCCTACCAAAAGTGGTCCAAGGAAGGAAAAGCTGTGAACTGGCAACAGGTTAATGGACGGCTAAGGCTCATTGATGCTTGTGTGGAAACAGAAGGCTGGCCCGTGTAGTCCAATCCAATAAAAGAGCTACTCTAGCACGAATTGCAGAAAAAGTTCATGCTGGTTCTAAACGAACAGTGCATCGCAGTTTGTTGCGTATGGGACTGCGTAGCTGCAGACCAATCAAGGTGCCTATGCTGACCCGTGTCCACCGCCAAATCACCAACAATGGGCACGTGAGTATCAGACTTGGACTACAGAGCAATGGAAGAAGGTGGCCTGGTCTGATGAATCAAGTGTGATTTTTGTTTTTTACATCATGTGGAGGGCTTGGTGCATGTGTGTCGCCCCCCAGGATGCACTATGGGAAGAAAGCAAGCTGGCAGAGGCAGTTTGATGCTTTGGGCAATGTTAATGTGGATGTTACATTGACACGTACCACCTACCTAAACATTGTTGCTGAACAAATACATCCCTTCATGGAAATGGTATTCCCTGATGGCAGTGGCCTCTTTCAGCAGGATAATGTGCCCTGCCACACTGCACAAATGGTTCAAGAATGTTTTGAGGTGTTGACTTGGCCTCCAAATTCTCTAGATCTTAATCCAATTGAACACATGTGGGATGTGCTGGAAAAACAAGTCCTATCCATGCAGGCCCCACATTGCAAATCACAGGACCTAAAGGATCTGCTATTGATGGCTTGGTGCCAGATACCTCAGCATACCTTCAACGGTGGAGCCCATGCCTCGATGGGTCAGGTCTGTTTTGGCGGCAAAGGGGGACCTACTCAATATTAGATGGGTAGTCATAATGTTATGACTGATCAGTGTGTGTGTGTAGAATCTGCAGATTCAGATTTTCTCTTTGTCAACCTTTTTCACATTGGTTAAATGGAGAAAGTTGTCGGGAAATTCATTTTCCTGTAAAGCTAATGTAAACTTGAATTGGTGTGGGGAAAAAAGGCTGTAAAGAGTTTTACAAATTTAGATTACAGGGGTACATATCACTCCTTTTATAAATGGGAGGCCCTGTTTTGCTGCTGGAAAAACATTCACTAACTAAGTGGGCTTATGTACAACTGAGAGTCTTATCTTTAACTATCCAGTATGAACTCAAAAATGGCAAAAACATTACTAAAGCCTTTGCTTATTCTGGATCTATTTGTTCCTTTGTTTATTTGCAGATGTACCAGTAATGATCTGAAGTGCATCATTCGGCTAATAAAGCATGATTTGAAAATGAATGCAGGAGCTAAACACGTGTAAGTAATAATTATGTGTTTATGTATGTCTGTGGTGTGTGTGTGTATAATATACAATCTGATAGTTATTTTTCCCCCTAAGAATGTACCTAACATTTCCACCTTTTTAAAGTACACTGGCTCATATCTTTGGAAATTATTGCTATGTGGGCGGAACTATAATCATATGGTCAGAAATATCGCACACCAGTGTTTAGACATACAAGTAAGACAGTAGCAATAAAAATCCACCCACAGTAGATTTAAGTATGGTATGCAGCATTCCTTTCTGGCTCTAAAATGACCTTAAGCCCTTTGCTGCCTTCAGTATGGTGTAAAAATTTACACATTTGGTTAGTTTGAGAAATGTCTTTCATGAATGTAGGGCAGGTGAAGGAAATTACTGTTTTAGTGTAGTAACCCAAATGGAACCCTAAGTCCTCCCCCCCTTTCCTGGCCTCTCTAACAAGCCCCATACTTGCCTTTCCCCACTTCTTTGAGATGTTTGCTGTGTGGCCTCTCCCTCCACAATATAGGGGCCTGTGCATTCACACAAGTCTTTCCATTCATACAAAATTTTAACGTAGATGTACAATATATCATTACAAAAAAGTTGGAAAGTCTATACATTTCCTATAATGCTGAGTTGTTTTTTTGTTGCATGGTTACTACTTGGGTTACCACATAATGCTGTTATTGTCATCTTCTTTTTCTAGACTTGATGCTCTCGATCCTAATGGACATGATGCATTCAAAGCATCCCGCAATTTGGAAGATGTGGTGGAACGTGTGCTACAAAACCAGCAGCAGGCACCAGGCATGAAACGCACACTTAGCGTAAAGGCTACGCTAATGACGCCTGTTCAGCCTATGTTGGTGCGAACCTTAACCTTCTAAAGACCTGTACTCCCATAAATGTGTGACTGCATTCCCAAAATTGACTTAGTCAGTTTAATGAAATGTTGGATTGTTTGAATCCTAGCATGATGCTTTGCAAAATTTGTGGGATAAACAATGACTTTAGGGCCCGTTCACACCAAAATTGTACCTAAAACGGAAGTCAACAGACGTCCGTTTTCAGTTGCAGTTTCAACCTCAGTTGATTTCCATTGTGTTGCCCTTATTAAACCTTCCTTTTTTTTAAATAACTATAAGGAGATCCACCTTTTGCCTGCGGCTTGTTTTTCTTTTAAAAGTTTTCAAGTGGGTCCCGGCAGCGCTCTCACCCCCACCTGCACGGGTGTCTCCATCTGCTAATGGAGGTGTGCTCGTGCCTGCAGTGGCTGTGTGCGTCCACAGACACACACAGCCCTGTGGCAGGCAACGCCCCTTCTCTCTGACCAACACTTTGATGGCAAAAGAAGCCTATGGCTCCCCCTGCACCTGACAGGTAAGTGTGGGGGGAACTGGGGGAGAAAAAGGTTCTGGGCGGTTTTTACCCCAATACAGAGAATGCATTAAGGTAAAAAACGGCCAGACCTTAATACTGCTTTGTGTTTTGTATTTTTTTTGTTTTTTTTTCAGCCTGCTACAATGCAACCCAATGGAACGGAACAGTGTGCGCTGGTCCTAATTGCATCCATGCATTTTTTTGTTTACCTTTCATTGACGTCCATTGAACAATAGATGCTAACAAATTTGGTGTGAACGGGCCCTTACAGCACTTTTAAGAAATGTAGCTTGATCTGATCCCCCTTTCCTGGCCTCTCTAACAAGCCCCATACTTGCCTTTCCCCACTTCTTTGAGATGTTTGCTGTGTGGCCTCTCCCTCCACAATATAGGGGCCTGTGCATTCACACAAGTCTTTCCATTCATACAAAATTTTAACGTAGATGTACAATATATCATTACAAAAAAGTTGGAAAGTCTATACATTTCCTATAATGCTGAGTTGTTTTTTTGTTGCATGGTTACTACTTGGGTTACCACATAATGCTGTTATTGTCATCTTCTTTTTCTAGACTTGATGCTCTCGATCCTAATGGACATGATGCATTCAAAGCATCCCGCAATTTGGAAGATGTGGTGGAACGTGTGCTACAAAACCAGCAGCAGGCACCAGGCATGAAACGCACACTTAGCGTAAAGGCTACGCTAATGACGCCTGTTCAGCCTATGTTGGTGCGAACCTTAACCTTCTAAAGACCTGTACTCCCATAAATGTGTGACTGCATTCCCAAAATTGACTTAGTCAGTTTAATGAAATGTTGGATTGTTTGAATCCTAGCATGATGCTTTGCAAAATTTGTGGGATAAACAATGACTTTAGGGCCCGTTCACACCAAAATTGTACCTAAAACGGAAGTCAACAGACGTCCGTTTTCAGTTGCAGTTTCAACCTCAGTTGATTTCCATTGTGTTGCCCTTATTAAACCTTCCTTTTTTTTAAATAACTATAAGGAGATCCACCTTTTGCCTGCGGCTTGTTTTTCTTTTAAAAGTTTTCAAGTGGGTCCCGGCAGCGCTCTCACCCCCACCTGCACGGGTGTCTCCATCTGCTAATGGAGGTGTGCTCGTGCCTGCAGTGGCTGTGTGCGTCCACAGACACACACAGCCCTGTGGCAGGCAACGCCCCTTCTCTCTGACCAACACTTTGATGGCAAAAGAAGCCTATGGCTCCCCCTGCACCTGACAGGTAAGTGTGGGGGGAACTGGGGGAGAAAAAGGTTCTGGGCGGTTTTTACCCCAATACAGAGAATGCATTAAGGTAAAAAACGGCCAGACCTTAATACTGCTTTGTGTTTTGTATTTTTTTTGTTTTTTTTTCAGCCTGCTACAATGCAACCCAATGGAACGGAACAGTGTGCGCTGGTCCTAATTGCATCCATGCATTTTTTTGTTTACCTTTCATTGACGTCCATTGAACAATAGATGCTAACAAATTTGGTGTGAACGGGCCCTTACAGCACTTTTAAGAAATGTAGCTTGATCTGATGAATAGTTTCTTCATACTGGACGTAGATAGCAGTGAAGGTGTCTGATAAAAAGTATGTGTTGTCTAGAAGAACCTTTTTCATTTTGTGCCTTTTTGTATCCAAAGTAGGCTGGAAAATAAAAGCTAATTGTTTGTTTTATATTTGTAGCACAAACAGGTTTTTATTGCAGACCACTTAGCATGCAGAATATTAGTACAAAAACGCATCTTCATTTTTTCTGGACAGCCGTAACGAAAGTGCAGGTTCTGGCATAGACTGGAAATGCAAGTACACAAATGGTTTAAAGACACCTTCCACTATACAATTTTATTTTATATCCCACTAATCGGGCCAGGCTGTTGCACAGAAAGGACACATTCATTGGGCACTATGGTATCATTTCCAATCCGTACATGATTTTTGGACCATAAAATTCATCAAGCCATCCAGCCTTGCTTACATAATAAACTTGCTTTATTCTTTTATGTAGCTGCCCTGGTAGATGACTGGAGAAATTGTAAGCTAATCTCAGTTAGTAGCCCCATTTCCAGAACAACCCATTACATTTTGTATCAGTATTCTGGTTTGGGTTTTATAGAAGGTGTATTTAACCGTTTATCTGCTTTGCACTCTGGGAGGGAGGAACCATCTTGCAAGTTGGTGTCTTGGGAAATACATGAATAAAGAGTCCCCAAACAACATTAACTCCCAATTTCAGCACTGCCTGCTGCATATTGTTAAAAAAAAGGTGTGGCTGTGTCTCCTATAACTGTTATCAAATCATAGTAATCCGGAACTCAATTGTCCAAGGTTGTTGGGTTATCTAAGATCTGTGTTGTGTAGTAAAAGAAATCTGTTAATAATAGGCCTGGGTGGAGACAGAAAATTCTGCATATAAAGAATATATATTTAGTTACAGATAACTTTTTTTTTTATATATTCTTTCATTCGTATTCTGGAACAGTGCTTCTCAACTGCAGTCCTCGGTGGCCATCAGCGATCTGTATAAATAATCGCAAGAGAATGTCTGCTTATAATTTCTTACAAATTGACGTGTGATGCTTCTGCCTTGGAGAGCTTAAAAATGTCTACTCTTGGAGTCCATAGAGGTTTGCATTTGCAAATTACTGGTGTGGAATATTTAATGTCTGACCTCAGGATGCCAGATTAAAGTCATATCACGTTCTCTAAAGGGTTTATATTGTGACTTGTGAAAGAAACTCCTAAAATGTTTCTGAAGAAATGGAAAAAGTTTTAGTTGAAAATGTTCTGACAGTTGCTTGTATTCCCACCTTTATAGGCTGAGGCCTGCAAATCTGTAGAGTATGCTATGAAGAAATGTCCAAATGGAATGTATGCAGAGATAAAGTATGATGGAGAACGCGTCCAGGTGCACAAAAACGGTGATCACTTCAGCTATTTTAGCCGTAGTCTGAAGCCAGTTCTTCCCCACAAGGCAAGTCCTTTTTGTTTTTTCTTTAGGTTTTTTTTTTTTTGCTTTATGTATAAAATATAGAAGTAGAAATTGGAATTGTCCATCTCCCCAGCTTTGTTTCAGAGTATGAAAGCACTTTTTGGCATCTCTTAAAAGATATGGTTTCCCCAGGACCAGTATGAAGCCAAAGAGTTGAATTTTCAGCAGCTTTCACAGGAGGCAAATTCTAGTTATATTAATACAGATACAATGGGTCTTATGCTATGATGCTTGTATGGAGGCATAAACCGTTACCAGGTATTGCAGAGAGGTCATAAACAAGGATCTAGCTTTGAATTAAAATGGGAAAACATGAAGTGGTTTGAACTGCATACAGGTCTTTTAAAATGTTGTGAACTACATTACCATTTGATAAGTTTGTCTGTATATAGGTTGCTCATTTCAAAGACTATATTCCCAAAGCTTTCCCTGGTGGCAATAGCATAATCTTGGACTCTGAAGTGCTTCTTATCGATACCAAGACCAGCAAACCCCTTCCATTTGGAACGTTAGGAGTTCACAAGGTATGTAATTCCTTCAGATGTGTTTATAAATAAAGAATACATAAAGTGTTAGAAGAAAATAGAAAGCAAATGTTAAAAGGACCAGTTCTACAATCCTGTGCAAGGAGTATACAGCAGACCAACATAATATGGTAATGAAAAAATGGAAGATTTAAATGTAATTGTTCAGAAATAGTAGTGAGAGTTGCAAAAAAAGTAACAACTTCACTGTAGCTTTAATGTAGTGTATATTTGTGACATCTAAATGGTGTAGATCACTTTTATTCTGGGGTTTTGGTTTGTTTGGTTTATTTTTTTTTGTGAAACGGATTGTGAATGGGAGGGGTTATGTATGGGGCTCAGTAGACGGTGAGGCAAAATGGGAGGCAAGAGGGAGGATGACAGGTTGGAAGAACACTAGATATCTAGAGGTGCTGCAATGATGGTGTGTCCTGCAGTCTGTAAGTGGGAATTAAAGTTTTACATTTTTAATCTGCTCCATTCCGAGAAGCATTTTGTATGAAGTAAATCATTGCCATTTTCTCCAATGTTATCACATTTGGAAAGTTATCCAATATATTGTAATCCCAGAGGTTAGCCACATGCTCAGTGGGAGAGGGTCAGTTTTTTACAATACAAAGGGATACCAGCTGTGTCTGATTTTTCTGTGTTTTCTTTTTAAGCTTCAAGTAGAATATTCCTTGAGTTTCTAGGTGATTATTTCAATTCATGATGCTTTTTGCTGTAAACTGAGCTTTGTGAAAGCATTAAGGTGTTACTCCAGGCTAATCGGGCATGTTAGAAGCCTTGCAGAGTTAAGTCTTGTTAAAAAAAAATATTGCTGACGCACCATTTGCTTCATGTCAGATTTCCAAATAATGCTGCTAGGGAGGAAGGATTCTGATGTTGCATGGTATCTGGGGCTAGAACAATAGACCAGCCATTTGTTTTCTCTCTTGCCTCTGCTTATTATCACTCTGTTGCTTATTATCACTCTGTTGCTTATTATCACTCTGTTGCTTATTATCACTCTGTTGCTTATTATCACTCTGTTGCTGTTGATTGCAATAGAATTACATATTCGAAAATAATCTTTGATTGGTCTGGGTGACACCAAAGCAGAAAGTATTGTGGCCAAGTTTTTGAGTTGATGGGCCAAGATTGGTAATCAGGAATGAAGTGAATGGGGGGATTTAAATGGTGGTAAATAGTAAGCAAGAAGTGAACATTCAAGATATACACTGTACTATGGATTTTGACGCTGACTCGAGTATAAGCCGAGGGGAGCACTCTTCAGCCAAAAAAATGGGCTGAAAATCTCGGCTTATACTCGAGTATATACGGTAAGCTGTGTGTACACTGGGGGGTTTTTCCTACCTTTCCATGTGACGTTTCAGTTTAGTTACAGATATCCCCTGATCTTCCATTTGTGTTCTTTTTGGATTTTTTTTTTTTTTTTAATTACCCAACATAAACCTTCACATTTTATACTGATGACTGTAATCTTTTGCAGAAAGCTGCTTTCCAGGATGCCAATGTATGCCTCTTTGTTTTTGACTGCATATATTTTAATGGTGTCAGCTTAATGGACAGGTAAGTGTCACCACAATGTCACACAGCATTGTGTGTTTTCTGCCAACACAAATCCATTCCAAGTATTTTATTCCTTTTTTTTTTTTTTCTTTTTATTAGGCCATTAGTTGAGAGACGAAAGTTTATGCGTGAAAATATGGTGGAAATCCCTAACCATATATTGTTCTCAGAAATGAAACATGTCACGGTAAGTGAGCTATCCGTATACTTGATAGCTCAGGAAATGTGTACATAATAAGCTATTAAAGTGACACTGAACTCAGGAGTTAAACCTTAAAAATACATTCAAGTATCTTGACTATTACACAAAAAAATATAAATTTTTGTTATCACTCGGCTGTAGATCCTCAAATCATCTCTGAATTGGAGCTGACACTGTCCTTCCTTCTGGAGGGTGGCTACTTTTATTCCCCATGGTCCCTGTGTGTGTTGTAAAGTAGTCACCGCTCCAAGCGCACTCCCGTGATGGTCTATAATCTCAATACAAATTAGTAAATGAAACGTGAGATTGTAGTCCATCACGGGAGTGAGCTTGGAGTGGTAGCTACTTTACAACACACACAGTGATCATGGAGAAAAAAAAGTAGCCACCCACCAGAATGAAGGACAGTGTTAGGGCAAAGTTGTTTTTAGTCTTTCAGCACTCTGATTCAATGCCGTACAAGGACTATAGCTTTAGATATTTCAGAAGTTTTAACCAGTTCCAAAGCCACAATACGTCTATGGACGGTGGCCCGCAGAAGTGCTGCAGCAGCCGTGTTCTTGGTGTCATTTTTAACAGGCAGCGATGGCTGTTATTGTACAAGCGATCGGGCGTCTATGCAGCCACCGGATCGTTTGTACCGTGTGACGCCCTATCATGCATGCACAAATAATAAGAAAATGCTCTGGACAGCAAGTGGTTAATTTGTTCCTTCTTAGCGATATGGTTTTCTCTCGGAACCCAAAAACATAATGAGGGGAATTTATCAAAACAGGAGCAAACAAAAACTGCACGGCAACCAATCATCTTTTTTTCATTTTCAAATCCTAACTGAACAAACTACAGAGAGAAGCTTATTGCTTGTCATACAGTTTTTGTCTGCTCCAGTTTTGATAAATTACCCTCATTGAAGGGAATTTATCAAAATTGAAGCAGACAAAATGTGGAGCAGTTACCCATGGCAACCCATCAGCTTTTTTTTCTTTAATTTTCAGTTTAACTGAACAAACTAATTGTTTGAAGCTGCTTTGGTTGCCATGGGCAGCTGCTCCATATTCTGTCTACTCCAGTTTAGATAAATTCCACCCAATGTTGGTTATTTGCCATTTAACCAAGTGTATGCTTGTGTGAGCGACTGCATATCATCGCATCATTTATATTCTGCTATTACTCATGCATTACAAAGTATATTGGAAGGGTTTTTTTGTTGTTTTTTTTCAAATGATAAATTGGGTCCTTTTCCTGTGTTTTGAATGGTTTTTTTTTGTTTTAGTTCTGCAGTGTAAAATAAACTGGTTTGCTTTTTTAAAAATGAAATTTTGTTTTTGTCCTTTATTCACAGAAAGCATCAGATTTGGCAGACATGATTACCCGAGTAATCAGAGAAGGTTTAGAAGGCCTTGTGCTAAAAGATTTGAAGGTATATATATTCTGCTACAAAAAACGCTTCAACACACACTTTACATTCACTTCTTATTTCCAGTGTATACAATTTTTTGTTCTGTTGCTCTTTAACCAGAATACAAATGGGTGACTATACAAAACCTCATTTTTATAGAATGTGAACTAATTTGCACTGTTTGCCTTTGTTTACTTTGGGATCTTCAAAATAATTTATCCTTACATGTAGTAGTCTTTAATATGTGACATACTAAGCCAACAGTTTAGTCCATGTGACAAGATGAACAGATATTGGTCATGCTAATGCTATATGTAGATTATATTTAAAGATATATGAATTCTGCGTTGTTACATCATGTTGTCCAAGAACTATTGGAAGAATCCTGTACCATTTGAGTTAT